CACAAACATACCGGGTCGCCACCTCGCATTTCGGATGATCTTGCCCGCGCACACCTGTACAGCAGACAACAGGGAAGCCATGGTCAACGTGAGTTTGGAAACGGCATGGTAAGAGCGCGCACGCACGTAACGCTGCATGGACGGCAAAGTACACGACGGGGCGGGCCGGCGGTCTAGTCATGGATCCGACTGACCGCTGTTGTTGGGTGGCCTTGCCCTTGTGATCTGAGTTGCATGCGCGATGACACAACACAAGACGATGCCTGCACACCATATAAGCCCTTCAACCCATTGAGGCTAGCTTATATGCATATTTATCTACCTTTGTTTCGCTCTCAGATGGAAACCACGGGCTAGGATGACGGTGATATCGACTTTCGCCGGTGCTCTTCGACATAAACCGAACTTGCACTCCCGCAGCATGGCACGATATCTTGACCCGTTGTGGTATTCTTTGTTGCATAGACTCACCTTTCTTGCTCTACGGTGTCGCGTGAGCCTCAGCATGCGCATATAGTCAAGGAAAACATGGCGGGCATGAGTGTTTCCTACACCAAGTATGCAACCAAGCAGCTGTCGTGCTAATTCACACGTACCGCAGGCCGCTACAGCCCCAGGATTTGCCAGTCATCTGTCATAGATAGCTTGCGCTCACACAGTGTGGGCATTGGCGCAGGCAGGGGATGGTGGCGGTAGGAGGACAAGAAGTGTCCAGCGCGACTTGGGCAAATTTTTTCCGAGTCTCTCATTTTTGCTGTACCTCCTTGGAAGCCAGATCGGGATGTCGAAGTTTCGTAGATATCGGCGTCGTTGCGAAGTTGTGTATAACAATGTCAAAAATGGACAAAACGAGCTAAAAAGAGCCGTGATCTGTGATTAAGGTTTCGGAAGATCCATCCAGCTCAGTCCTGCTCATACGTGCTCAGCACGGTCTTATTCTCCTCAGCTCTCGTCTGAGCTGCTCAGCTGGTGTTTTGACTGGGCCTCAGGCTCTAGGCACGACGGGCTTTCGTTGGCGCAACTCGCTGTCTACTTATACCCGCTCCATATTGCGGACAATGCTAACGACGTCAGATTCAGGGCCATTACGTCCCAATACAGTCAGGAAGCTTCCACTTGCGGTCGTCCTGTGACTGCGACGCGCTAGGCTACGGACGCCGGGGCCAGATGTAATCTTGCCGAATCTGCCGGGATTCTATGGCGTTTTGACGACGACTACATTACCTTCTCGGCTCGCACCCGCGTCCTTTGAGTTATGGCAAGGACATAGTGATCGATTCCTGGAGAAACGTATGCAAACGCAGCGTGAGGTGTTGGTAATCGCACTGACATGACAGCGAACAGGGACACTCGACTCCAGTTAAGTCGACAGGCTTGTCAGGTTGGAAAGAAGCTAACGTAGGGCTAGGGTGATCCTTGTATTAATGGACAGGACGATCCTCTCCGTCGTCCGCTACTCGACATTCGCCCCCCACCGCTCGAGCTCTACCCGGCTCTCCGCCACGGTCTAGCTGTCCTCGGAAAAGATGGCCTTAACTCCAGCAGAACTCATGTATGCTCTCGAAATCTCATATCCCACACTCCGCGAGGCTGATCAGCCCTGTAGATACGGCCCCATCTTCTTGGGGGTGGTCATCAACATCCTCCTATACGGAATCATGACGACACAGACGTACCTATACTTTGCAACGTTTCGGAAGTAAGCTAGCAAATCAGCCTCCTCGATAGTTGTTACCGTGGTTAACGCCTTGACTGCAGCGATCGTCTTTGGATGAAAGTATTCGTCGGTGTGCTATTCGTCGCTGACACGGCGAATACGGTGTTGTGCGTTATCATTCTCCTCCTTCTTTTACCTACCACCGGGACACTGACGATAGTGGCTTCGGTATAGCGATACCGTTTTCCTATACGAAAGGCTCATCGCCAATTACAGTACGCGAAAGCTTACCATTCCCCATTCATGGACGCTCATCCGCTTGCGGTGTAGACAACCCTACCAAATTGGGCTCCGCTGACTGGAGTACGTTCAACGACCTGTCTTCCCCTCCGCTTGCTGACCGTACCTTCATCAGTATTCAACACAGGTCAGCGTACATGATGAGGTTTACCGTTCGAAACACTGACTGCTGTCCTTTACCACTGTGTAGACCCTGCGTTAACGGTATGCCCAGCGCCTTCTCCGGAAATGGATCATGTTTAACCTCCGGCTCTTTTTAGGCTATCATTGCCTTCCTCGTCCAAAGCTTCTTCGCCTGGAGGTGCGATTCGTTCCTAACTCGCTCTCCTCGTGGCTCATCTCATCGCTTCTAGGGTGAAGATCGTTACCGGATCCATATGGGCGCTGGCCGGTATCATGTGCTGCTCCTGCGCGCAGCTTCGTACGTTTCTCCGTTTTCCACTTCCCTTATCATGCCTGTTCTGAGGTGTTCCATGCGTTGCAGTGGGTGGCCTCGCGACTGCTATAGCGTGTGGTATCGTCACGCAGTTCCAGGAATTCCATAAGTTCCAATCGGTCGTCATCGTCTGGCTCGTTGGGGCGGCCGTCGCTGACGTTGCGATCGCTATTGCCCTCGTGTCCCACCTGGTGAGTGTTCACCCGACTCCAAACCTGCGAATCCGGCGCTCATAGTTCCCTGGCTACCAGCGCACGCACCGGACTGGCTTTGTTGCGACTGACGATATTATCACGAGACTGACGAGAAGTACGTGCTCGATTTCGTCCTCCTAGATTCGTTATTGATTACCCAACAGTGACTGTATCTACCGGCGCGATCACCGCTGTGTGCGCGACTGTCGATTTGATTGCTTTCTTGGCCAGCGTCAGTTCCTTCCTCGGAGACGCTCTGGATACTGCACTGACTGTCGATGACCCAGACTTCTGGCCTCCACCTCGTGTTCAACATGCCCCTAGCAAAACTGTACACCAACTCCCTGCTATCCTCGTGAGTCTTTGCCCGGCCTTTTTGTCTCTGCTCTTACATCTGTACCCCAGGCTTAATTCGCGACGCGGCGGACACTACTCGGAATCGGCGAGCACGAAGGACGGGGGATACTCGAGGAATACCGGAATCGGCGGAGGACGCCGTCCCGACGTCCTCGAGCTTCAGACAGGAGGCAAGCACCCTAATGCCGTCAATGTCACCGTGACGCGGTCGGTCGACATCGGCGACGGCGGTGCGATACCCGCCAAGATGTATCCCGCGGACAGTGAAGATCACGTCGATACGATGGATGGGAAGGACGCGATGGTTTGAGGTCCTTCGGACGCGACACGAACTTCTTGGATGTTTTCTCTCCTTGCGATCCCCTGTCCCTCTTGTGTTTCACCCCCTTGTCCGCCCGTCCGTGGTGCGCCCGGAATATCTTCCGTGCACCTTTGAACTATTCTAGGATATGGCATGTCACTTTCGATGTTTCGCTATTTATCCTCGTATAGACGTCCTTCCTACGCCGTTCGTGGACTATATGGCTTGTATTATCTTGACTGTCTGTGTATGGTCGCATAACGCGCGAGATTATCTTGTTTGGATTCCAGAATCAGTATGTCGCTGGTTGACGTGATCGTCGAGATGCACGCGGGTGAAGCTCGGAAAGGCGCGACCGCCTAAAGAGGCATCGCCTTTTTCGGAGAAAGGCGCTTTGCCTCTCACCACGATGTTGCCTCCGCCGGAGATCCTCATTCACGACTCCGCTCGACCTAACACACGCACATAGGATTCATGCTCAGTCTACTCCACTTCCGGCACCCGAGGAGTCAAATCAGTATAATACGAACCTTCTGTCTCGATGTTTCGGTACCCGGCCAATGCACGACCGAGCGACGACCGCGGAGGACTATGTGTCCGGTTACCCTTGAATACCTTGGGCTTGAAGTTGAAGCTTGTTTGTCTTTGGCCGGTATATCCTGGCGCCGGCTACTCAACGGCATCTATGCCGGTGCACGAACATGTCGTCGTTTCCAGTCATGACCCGGCGATCGGACATTTATGACATACCGCATCGTCTTGAGCTTGCTTCTAACCTCCTCCTCTGCCGTAATAGGAAAGGCGACTACTTCATTCGGCTGCGCTGACATGTCGACCTCGGTCTTCTCACTATCGAACGTGCCCAATACCGAAACACGGGAACTATATGGGGATGGGACGTCCGGATGGGAGTGGGAAGGGTGGAGGTTGCGGAGGCTGATAAAGCGGGGCGATCTGAAATGAGATCGGTTTCTTTGTCTACGTCCCCCCCCCCCCCTCCCCCCCCCCCCCCCCCCCCCCCCCCCCCCCCCCTCTCTCACCCACTTGTCGCCTTCGGTCACACATAAAATCTGAGCGATGTCGACGATGAATGCACAATCGATGGCGAAGACAGCAGATTTGAGCGAAGTGGCGGACAAGGAGTTTGACTACGTGATCTGCGGTGCGTATATTTGCTTGTTCGTGTAATATCGGACGATGCGCTGAAGTCTGGTAAAGGTGGCGGAGTGAGTTGCCCCGGTGGTTTTGGCCTCGCCAACCTCGTTGATGGAATCGTAGACAGCGGGCCTCTGTCTTGCCGCGCGTTTGAGCGAGGACCCTTCGAAAACGGTCCTCGTCCTCGAGGCCGGCGACGCCAACCTCAACGACCCCGACATCCGTGGGTATCAGTGGGAATCAACGCGACCCGTATCGTCGATTGAACCTTCTTTTTGTCTTCTGGCGACCAAATATAGTCAGGCCTGCTTCGTATGGGAGCCATTTCGGAAAGTCCGCGTATGACTGGGCCCACAAGACGGTGAGCCAAATGTTCATGTGATCCTATCGATCGCGGTGTTGATGCGATGGTCTCAAGGTCGAGCAGAAGTTCTGCGGCGGAAAGACGTACAACTGGAACCGGTGAAGCACCTTCTCCAGAGCTTTGTTATCACCGAAGATTGACGCAGTGCCGGCTCTGCAGAGGGAAAGGTCTTGGCGGCAGCTCCGGGATCAACTTCCTGTTCGTTCCTTCCCAATTTCGCGCAGTTGATAATCTCATGTTACCTTAGTTGCTGGGTGAAGCCGCCCGCCTCCGACATCGACGGCTCGTGTCTATCTCGTTTCCGAGTTGTGCATGCGTATTGAACGTATGTCCTTAGATTTTGAAAAACTCGGGAACCCAGGATGGAACTGGCAAAACCATGAGAAATACGTCACTCGCACTGAAAGGTTCGTCTGAGAGTTGGTGTCGCCCTCCCGAACTAATGAAAAATCCCGCATCCGTTAGTTTTGTCCATCCCGAGCCTGAGAAGCAGAAGAAGCACGACATTAATTTAGGCTCATGGAAAGGTGGCTCGGGTGAGAGCTCAGTCGCTCCGTCAGGCGTTGACTGGATTCTAACGATTATCAGGTCCCCTCCTGACCGCTTTTCCGGGGAAGATCATTGCGGCGGAATTGGACTTCCAGCAGGTTTGTGCACCGCCTTGAAGAGACGATGATACTGACAATGTATATGAAGACTCTGATCAACTGTGGCATACCCGTCGCCCCGGATCCGGTAAGGACGATATCGCTGTAGAGTTATTCACGCGTCTGACGCTTCTGTCACATAGCTGGGTGGTGACGTATGCGACGAACGCGCGATTACACGTTGTATACTCATGTTCCTTCTGTCTACAGCCGGCAGGCGTGTACTTTGGACCCAACAACGTCGATCCGAAGACCCACACTCGAACTTACGCCGTAACGGTCTGTATGTATCGCAAGGTCTATCTTCGCGTTCTTATCGATTTTGGATCCAGGCGTTCTATCTGCCCAATGCCCACCGCCAAAACCTCGTTGTGCTCTGCGGGGCACACGTCCGCAATGTTCATACAGAGCCTGGATCGGGCGGCCTACTTACTGCGAAAGCCGTCGAATTTGATGTTGGCGGCAAGGTCCATAGCGTCAAGGCCGCTCGCGAGATCGTGGTTTCTTCCGGGTACGTCAGGATGACACATTGACTGATTCGCATGGCTCAGGTTATGTTTCTAGGGGTCTGAAGACGCCCCATATACTCGAGATGTCCGGTATTGGACTGAGCTCGGTGCTGAACAGCATCAATATCCCGGTCAAGCTCGACCTTCCGGTCGGCGAGAATTTGCAGGAGCACATGTTCGTCGGGGTTAGCTGGGGTACGACGACGTGTTGTTACTGAACCGAAACATCGCTCATGTAGTTTATCTTACAGAACTTCGCGAAGACGTGTCTTTTGACACCTTGGATATCCTTCACGATCCAGAGGTTGCTGCGAAGCACGTCGAGCTGCAGTGAGAATTTCGTTCCACCAGTCAACGTGGTTCACGTTGCTAAGCCCGGATTGTCAGCGCCGTCGGAGAAGGCATGTTCACCACTGGCATCGTCGGCTTTGCCTTCACGGGGGTCGACAAGGTCTCTAAACGCTCCAAGGCAATCCACGAGGCTGCTAAGGCGAAGATCGAGCAAAGCAAGAATAACATGCCTCCGGGATTGTATGAGCAATACCAGATACAGCTTCAGAGGCTGGAGAACGGCTCACCCGGTTGCGAGATTATCAGTATTCCCGGTTTCATGAGCGGACCCAGTATGTCCCGATGTTTTGTCGCGCTGGTATGGGGTACTGAGATGTAATGACGCCAGATCCTCCGGAGAAGGGGAAGAAGTACCTTACGGCACTGGCTGCGGTGAATCATTGCTTCTCGCGCGGTACCATCGTGCGTGTCTTATTCTTTCCAGTTCTTGAGTATCATCTCATACACTTGATAGCACTCTACCACTGCGGACCCCTCAGTCGATCCTGCGTTCGGTAAGACCGGGTCCGGGATATGATCGCATGTAGCTCACGATACTTTAGACCCTCGCTACTTCGAGCAGGACGTCGGTCGGTATAGATTTCGTCCACCTTAAGATCAGCGGCTGATATCAAGCGCAGATACTCAGATATTCCTCGATACCGTCAAGTTCGTTCGCAATCTCGTCCACGTCGCGCCTTTCAAGGACATGGTCGGTGCGTACATGTACCTTATGATGATGAATATGCGCTGATGTTGCGGATGCAGTCAAGGAGGTCAATCCGGGCCCGAGCGTCACTGCTGATGCGGACCTGGAGGGTAAGCCTTTGACTTCGTGTGGTCATACTCGTATCACGTCTCACGAGTACCTCAGATTGGATGAAACAGACGATGTCCACGACATTCCGTTAGTCCCTACCGATCTTCTACGTACACCTCGACTCACTCATCGCCCGCGTCCTCAGATTCGTGCGGTTCGGCGTCCATGCTCCCGAAAGATAAGGGCGGTGTTGTGGATCCTGAGCTGAAGGTCCGCCCGTGCCGTTTCAGACGTGCCCTCACTCAAGGAGCTTTCGCACGCATACAGGTCTATGGAACGAACAACCTCCGAGTGGTCGACCTCTCGGTCGTCCCGCTTCACTTTGCGGCGCATCCGCAAGCCACGGTCTATGCGCTTGCTGAACAGGGTGCGTGGTCGCCCAAGTTGCGGAAACGGATGTGAATCTGATGTGGAACCGTTTCAGCCGCGGATAGGATCAAAGAGGCGGCAAAGGTCATTTGAGTACGAGTGAGGCTGAAACGGCGTATGTTCATGTGTTCAGACCAAACATAAGTCCGCATGGCTGTATATACCTAACTTGGTTGTTCCAACGTGGGTCACATGATTTGGGTGAGACGGACTTCATACATCTCGAGCAATAAGGGCGGACTCGGATGGTGACCTTTGTCTAATGAACATTGCCAGATATCATTCACCTCGTTATGGTCTATTCCAATCATAGATCCATGGCTCCAGCTGCGCATGTCGGCCTCGAACTTTGCGAAAGTTGATTCTGTCCTTAAATAGATACGTTCTCCGAGGTTATATCGAGCACGGCCGGGAAGGTCGGGAAAGTGTCACCGCTGCGGTATTTTCAAGTCTCGTTCCGGAATCCAGCAACGATGAAAACCTGCCTGAAGCGGAGTCCTGTGGAGACACGTAGGATCGTTCCCAGAGCGATTGAAGACTGCCATTATGGATGAACCTATATCGAGCTCTCTCCAAGATCATGTTCTCTCATCAGGTTGAGTCCGTGAGCGACGCGATACTCGAGCGACGCCACCCTGACGGATGAACCAAAATTCACCGACTCTGACTGACCGCGCGAGGCGATAGATCGGTTACACGCTATTCGCACTGCGGGGAACTATATCCAGGCTTCGTTCCCCTTCTATTTTTGCTTGACTGGTCCTTGATGACAACCTTTGGCAAGAACGATGGCAGTGCATGCGTGATACCGCAGGCGTAATTTTGAGGTCTATGCCAATGGGCAACTAAACGCGAATTATATCAAATGCATCGTTAGCATATCAGTCCCTCGCATACACCACGAGTACCGTTCAGCGCAGAAGCCGGTCGGGACGGAGGTACGTAGGTAGGTAGTCTTGTCCGGCGCGGTCCCGAAATCGCAACAGCCGGTTCCCGAGGCCTCGCCTCTGGGACCGGAGACTATATTGGTTCCATCCAATGCTGAAGAAGCATCACAGTCTTGTTTCCTGTTCAAGGATCATACGCTTCTGACGGTACATCGACGACTCGCGTCCTCACAACAGTCCTTGTGCCATAACGTATGCTGTGTCCATGGCGGCGTGACCGATACTGCAGCGACCAAAAAGTCGCAAGACTGTGACACGGTATCAAATCTTGCGCTACAGAACGATTCTAGTGGCCGTGAAAGATATGGTCGCGTTTGATCTGACCTCAAAAGCAGTGATTTGAAGCAGGATTCAGGAAGGCCTGGTGCTCTTCGTATCCTTAGTCAATTTCTACTCTACCGCGGAGCGTCAGTATTGTCTTTTGGATTATTACTTGACCACCTTACATAAAAGTGGGAATTCGCACATCCCTGGTCGCTCACAATGAATTGGTCACAGTTCCGAGACGCAGTCGAGCGTGAGTTCATTTACCTGCTACCGAAATGCCATGACAAGCCTCCCCGCAGTGCATGGATCTGTTAGCATATCGCCTGGTCTGCGGACGTTCTGGTTCGTCGCGTTGCTAACCTCAGCCGTGTCAGCTGTGTTTGTACAAGGAGCGCGGCTATTAGCCAGGGCTCTGCTTGTAGAGAAATCGCGGCTAATAGCCAGGGCTGGCCCAGTAGGCTGTACCAGGCTGTATCGCGGCCCTGCGGCCCATTACAAATCAATGTATGACCATTTTGGGCGTCGGCTAATGCTCACTCGTGCGAAAGCGTTGAATAACGGGCTCGGGGCTTGGGTCCCGGGGTGTTCTCCGTGGGAATCACCCATCAGATGTCCCTCCGGGCGGCTGGTAGGACCTCCGAGTGTGGGAATTAGCCTCTGATGTCATCGGAGGCCCGATATCAGGCACGCCGATGCTTCTCAGAAGCATTCCCGGGCGGTAGTGGTCCTCCCAGGTGGCTGGCTGCCTAGCGTACACCTTTTGCGGCCTGGTATGATAACAAAAGTTGTATGTATTTGCATGTAGAATACTATGGTGTAATATTTTTGAGCATAGCACTCACGGGAGATTACCAAATAAGGAAATACTCGATGTGAAAACACAGAATATGTGTTTCCTGCTTGCAGACAGACTACACAGGCGGATATAAGGTTCCCAGGGAGTTTATTACACTCAGAATACATGTTCCCATAGTTACAGGACAGGTTGATAGGGAACTAATATGTTAAAAAGGCGAAAATATGGATGGGGAAGGCAGAAACATAGAATATGATGTACACACCTAAGGGTGGTGTCATATAGTGACTAGAAGATAGATAATGCGTGTATTGATGTATGAGGAAGTTTTTAAGGGGTATTGGGGCGGATTGAGGCGTCGATGAGAGGGAATGTGTGGAAGAGGTGTCAGAAACAGAGATGGTGCAACAGGAAGTGAACATGAGATGATAGGGAGACAGATATGGCTTCCCTGACATGATAGTACACATCACATACCATAAATACGAAGATCTGACGGTGGGGAAATGTGAGACGGAGTGAAAAGGGGACGGGGAGCCACAATCTTCGAAATAGCTCGTGATCGGCGACGTGAACTTCGGATATTAATGCGGAACCAAATTCTTCGTGAAGTTCGGGTTCTAGAGAAGCCTGAGATCACGGGAAAAGGTGGGAAACTCGTCGAGTAATGGAGGGGTGAGGGTGAGGAGGAGAGGGAGGGGGCGTTCTACAACGGCTGGACATCACGTCAGGCGCTCGTAGGATTATGTTTAAGACCGCTGGAGGGTACCAGATATAAAAACCGAGAGGGGGTTGATAGGGAGGATGTGCCGGGGTGAACATGGGGACAGGGAGGGGGAAGAGTGTGGCACAGGGGCATGTACAGCGACGAATAGTGACAGAAAACATACATAGAACATACCTTAGCATCCTCCAATCATATTACAGCAGCTTTGATGAGGTATAGCACGATATACGTGGCAGTATGCACAGTTGATTGTGCTGGGCCAAAAACGTCGAAAACCGGTCATCAAGAGTTAACGAAGAGCGCCAGCGGATCCACCAAGATGTCATAAGAAAGCCAGTAATCGTAGCAATCTATAGAGCCATAGATATTGAGAAGGC